GTTGCCTCTTGCGTGTTTCTGTTCTGATCCACTTTTTTTTTTTCCTACTGATCCATTAAGAGATGAGTTATTTGGTCTCAAAATGTGTGTGATGGATTGTTAGAGAGTCTTCAGATGACAGTCATTTCTAAATTACTCTAAAAAGGAGGGTTATTTAACAGGCTGGACAGTATAACTTGCTATCCTGCTCAAAGGGGCATCCTGGAGTTGTTTTTCCTTGGAATTAATACTATGGTTTGCACTGAATTCCAACACAGAACGTGAACTGTGGTTTTGCAAACAGTCTAAGGCAGGGTAAGTACTGAAGAGATGAGGAGTGTGAGTTGGTTATTTTTTTATGTGAATTTCTTGGTTTTAGCACAAGGGTTATGTGCCAGAGATGCACATACTTCACCTACAGTTATAAAGCACTGTTTACATTTTTTGTGCAAACACAAAAGCCAAGTGGGAAGGGATATTTCATAAACTCAGTGCTATTGTGTCCTCTGGTCTAAGCCATAAAACAAGAGTAACAGAGACGTTCCCTTTGAACTTGAAATCCTTTTCTAAGCTGCTGATCTAACCTAAGTGAGAGAGGGAGACTACACCAGCCAGAACATTTCTCTTCTGGGTATTTTTCCCATCCTGCCCCTTTTCTTTTTAAAATGTCCTTAAGTGAGTTTGATGCTGCACCTCTGCCCATAAATTTAAAAAAATATTATCGTTATGTAGGTCAGTGAACTGAAACGCCACTGTACACCATGGGGGATTAAAGTCAGAGAGGCAGCCCTCTCCCACTCCTACTAGGTCATATGACAATATAAACAAGAAATGCAAGGAGCCTTCAGCTTTTTCTTGCCCTAATCCTTTGTTTATGCAGCACTTAAACTGACTTTTGGGGTCGTCTCTGTCTGGCATTAAAGCCCTAAAGCTTTTTGAAGTTTCCCTGAAGTTAATAAAATTAGTCTGCCCTCATTGCTAGGCCCCTTGCTGCTGCTTCAGAGCAGACTGCATATCCCTTACTGTCTTTGTGGCATTTGGCTTTGTAAGTTCATAATATTTTATACTGGAAAAGAGTGTTTGAGAGAAAAGCACAAAGCTCTCCCGAAAGGCTGTTCAGCTAATAGGCAAAGTGATTGCCATTGTAGATGTTCTCAGAACTCAAAGGGGATTAACTTAAAATCCTGCGATTGGAGGTAAATTGCTGGTAAAGTAATTGGAAGTGTTGAGTTTCAGTTAGAGAGAACAACATGCATTTCTTTGCCTTTTTACGAAGCAAAGCTAAACCAAAAATACAATTTTTCTTTTACTTTTTTCTAATGCAGTCTTAAAGTTGAGAAAATGAGCTTTCCTTTATAGCAATTCTCGCTACACTCATTTATTTTAATGCAAAGACTGATCCAGTTATCTTAGTTCCTGTTAGGACAGGCATTCTCTAGTTACTTTGTCTTTGTCAGGGATAAATTGATGATAGGCTCACCATAGGGCACGGATGGCACAGGATGGGGTGTGTAGTATTTAGTGTGTGAGACAGAGACTTTGGGTCATAGAGGTTTTATTCCAAACAGCCAGTCAGGCAAGTCACTGATCACTTATTATCTTAGCACCACTCAAGTGGTTTTGTTTCTAATGGCCTGTAGAGATGCCCAAGGAATTACAGTGATACTGACAGAACATATTGATTAGTTAAAGGAGGGATTTTTTTATTTTTATTTTAACAAGTTGGGTTAAGAATGAGCTGGATGGCTGGGCCCAGAGAGTGGTGGTGAGCATGCTGCATCCAGCTGGCAGCCAGGCACTACTGGTGTCCCTCAGGGGTCTGTGCTAGGGCCAGTCCTGTTCAATATTTTTATTGATGACATGGATGAGAGTATTGAGTCTTTCATTAATAAATTTGCAGGCAACACTAAGCTGGGAGGGTGTGTCGATCTGTTGGAAGGGAGGAGGGCTCTACAAAGAGATCTGGTAGGGTTGGATGCATGGCCGGAATCCAATGGGATGAAGTTTAATAAGTCCAAGTGCAGAGTCCTGCATTTTGGCCACAATAACCCCCTGCAACGTTACAGGCTGGGGACAGCGTGGCTGGACAGTGCCCAGGCAGAAAGGGACCTGGGGGCACTGACTGACAGCTGGCTGAACATGAGCCAGCTGTGTGCCCTGATGGCCAAGAAGGCCAGTGGCCCCTGGCCTGTGTCAGGAATGGTGTGGCCAGCAGGAGCAGGGAGGTCATTCTTCCCCGTGCTCAGCACTGGTGAGGCCACACCTTGAGTGCTGTGTCCAGTTCTGGGCCCCTCAGTGAAGGAAGGATGAGACACTTGAGCATGTCCAGAGGAGGCAACAAGGCTGGTGAGGGGCTGAGGGAGCTGGGGTTATTTATCCTGGAGAAAAGGAGACTCAGAGGTGACCTTATCACTCTCTACATCTCCCTGAAAGGTGGCTGCAGTCAGGTGGGGTTGGTCTCTTTCTCCAGGCAGCACTGACAGAACCAGAGGACACAGTCTTAAGCTGCACCAAGGGAAATTTAGGTTGGGTACTAGGAAAAGGTTTTTTACTGAAAGAGTGAAAGTACAGGAATGGTCTGCCTGGGAGGTGTTGGAGTCACCATCCCTGGATGTGTTTAATAAAAGACTGGATGTGGCACTCAGTGCCATGGTTCAGTTGAGGAGTTAGGGCATGGGTTGGACTCGATCTTAGAGGTCTCTTCCAACCCGGTGATTCTGTGACCTTTAGAGTGAAAAGAACAGTGCAGCTGGAGTCCTTGGTTACTCTCCTGTACTGAATATACAAGAGCAAGACCTTAAAAAACACCTTCCTTTATAAAAGATAAGGGTTTTTAAATTCAAAGGTTTTAAGTGAGTGTAGCATAACTAAACGCTGATAGATTTTGTTTCCATTCTAATACTCAATTAAAGGTTATCATTGCTGGTTTACTCTAAGGTACTTGATGCCTGTAATACTTGTTCACAGAAATCACTGGAGTTTTTTCTGACAGCCTTGCTGGGGAGGCTCTAAACTGAACCATGCTAGCCTAGTATGATTGCTCATCCTGTAATTCCATTTTTAATTAAGTTAAAGATAACTTTGAAGTGCTCTTGGAAAAAGATGTTTCCAAAGATGTTGGCCTTTAAAGTTGGCTTCCTGTGCCATCTGAGGAATAACTGCAAAAATAATAGATATATTAGAGATCCTCCCTGGAGCATATTGTACCATCTGTATTTCAAACACAAGGGATAGAAACACTAGCCAGCAGTGGACAAGAGGGATGAATATTTTGAAGTTCTTGTTTTAGAAATAAAAGATTTATAGGATGAAGTAACATTTTAATTTCTCCAGCCACTGCAACTGGAAAAAAAATTAGGTTTTGAGAATGTAAGTGCTTCTTCAGGTTGGAATTAGCTTTTTTTTCTTCTAGTCTTCTGTTTCAGACCCAAAAAAAGGCAAGTGTGCCTGAAAGCTTATCTCCCCCTCTGCCTCCACCTATTAGCAGGCGCTCTAACATCAGGACATTATTCAATTTTACACTTAAGCCAGAATATTGCTGAGCAGTGATACTGCCATCAATGGTTCACAAGCTATTTTGAAGCAGTGGGAGAGAACAGACACAACAACAACAAAATAGTGTCCTTTTGGGGAGAGATGAGGAATTTTGGCAGTGAATGTTGTTGAGGCATCTCAGTGTTTCTGCCTACAGCCTTGGTTGCACCCAGCCCAGGGCAGAGCTGCCTGTCCTGTTGTCATCCCCATGTGACAGGAGCAAGAAGGGCTGTAGATATTTCTCATCCTGCATCTGCTCTGGGACAGGGAGAGGTCCTGCCAGTGCTCTCTAGTACTGCACAGCCCTTTCAAGACTGTTTATAGCTGAGCAAGTAAACTCTGTTTAAAATAAAAATGAAATTTCTGATGCTGGATTTACCACCATACTGAGATTGGCATTAAAATGGAGGCATATATATGTAACAAAATAGTAACAGTCCTAGAGATTTGAGTCTGTATATGCATTACAGTTTATGGAGGAGGCTTTAGGCAAGGACAGTTGCTTAATAAACTGGCAATATTTTGAGGCCTCAATATTTTGAGTTTGTTTAAACTGAGTAAAAGGGAGCATTCAGAACTGATTGGAGTTCTTTACTGTTCTAAATCACTTTGGTCTTTGCAACCCTTAGGTGTAGCTAAAAATGGCTCCTGCGATATGAAGAGGAACTGCAACTTTTTTTACCACAAAAAACAATCTTGGAAAGACTTAAGTAATATCCCCATATTTATTCTGATAAATAAATGTTCTTTCTACATCTACAAGGTAGAGTAACTGCAGGCATTGGGTGTACAAGGATATTCACACCTACAGGATTAGGCTCACTTGACTGCACCTTATACTTTGTAATGCCTCAGGGAGGGTTGTTTATCTTGCCTTACCCACCAACCTCACTGCCTCTTGTTCCTGATATCTTAATTAAGAATTCAACTTGGAATGGTTCTTCCCACTGGGTTACAAACCTTGAAATTAAAATTGGATACAGTGGTCATAAGGCTCTTGGTTTGACAAATCAATGTGTATGTAAAGGTGAGTATTTAAAAGGCTCTGTGTAGAAACTGTCATTTCTTTGGAAGTGTAGCTGTTGGAGTGCAGGTCTGCAGCTAACAGAAAGAATGTTTATGTAGGTGATAATATACTTAGCTGTAGAATAAATAATGGAATAAACTTTTTGTCAGCATAGGTACTTCAGTGACTTTGATGGAAAGGTTTCAAAACAGAAAAAAGATTTTAATTAACTGATATTTACAGCGTATTTTGATAAAGGAGAGAGAAGCAGAAATGTGTTAGGTCATAAAGTCTTCTATGGTTTTAGACACAAATTGCCTTGAACTCAGCAGTTTAGATGACTCACACAGAATTTTGCTCGTTTGGGGGTAAATGGTTTGTCAAAGGTGGAGTGATATAAGTTGCCAAACTTAGCACATAACATGGATAATTTCTTGGCACTTTAGCTTGTAGAGTTATGAATCTCTATTTTTTTTTGCAGGTGATGGATGATTACAGTGTGATTGGTCGTTCATTGTTTAAAAAGGAAACAAACATCCAGATTTTTGTGGGTCTGAAAGTGAAACTGTCTACAGGAGAAGATGGAGTAATAGATGGTGGTTTTGGACAAAGTGGTAAATTTAAAATCCGAATTCCAGGTAGGTGCTTAGCAGTTAACAAATACTAATCTTTGCCAAGTGTAGAGCATCTTTCCGTATTGCAAGGTGAAGTGCTACCAGGAATCTCCTGAAGTTTTGAAATCAGCTCATAGCCAGTTGGAGCAGTGATCTGGTGGGGACTGTACCTCTTCTAATTACATGATGGTGGCTGTGACTTAGTGTGAGACTGGATGGTCTGAAGTCACATCCCCTCTGTCAACAAACTCCAGTCTCAAAATGATTTCTTGCTAAGTGTCAGTAACACGGATCATGTAGGTGCCCAGAGAGGTTTGTGGTAATCTTTCCTATTTTAATGTATGTATGATTTGCACCAGAGCCCTTCTGAACAAATAAAAGAAAGCAAACCTGCAATCATTTTTACCTGTAGCTGCTTATTAAATATAGTATACTGGATGCAAGCTCCTTAAATTGGCTCTGTTCTGCATGTTATTACCTGACTTGCCTTCAAGCAAAAACTGCTTGATAAATGGGGTTTTGGACATCTTGAGAGTGTTTTTATTGCTTGTGTCTCCTGGTTTTATAATATTATATGTGACTGTTTTTTTCATCCTTGGTGAATTACAGAAAGGATTTATGCCTCCTTAGGTTAGAGCATGGGAAATGATGGGTGCTAGAGTTTATAAGTGTCATTTACTGGGTTTTTTTTTTCTTCCTTTTAAAGCAGGAGAGTAGTTCTGAGCCTTTTCAAAAGGTAGTAATAGGTGTTGCATTTAACTCAGATTACAGGATAAGATTTTAAGGATACCAGGCAGTACTTTTGTATTTCTGTTTTGTCTTCAGCCCATTTGTCACTAGTTAATCCCCCATCCTCTTAGGGAGATGAGCAAGATTACTTCTGTTGAACAAGTGGAGAAAAGAAATTACAATGTTTTATGGCAGCAAACAGTCAACATAGCAATTGATCTTCAGAGAAAGGTGAAGTTTCCTGATTCCTTGCAGAAGATGGACTATCTCTCCATTTAGAGTGTGATGCAACTGCTCTAATTTTCCCCTCTGCACATTTCCTTTTTTCCTTCTATTACAGGATAAGCATTTCTTACTATAGAAAGTATCTCATGTGTTCTGTCCTAGCTGTGCTTCTAGTTTTGTCACCAAATACTACATTTTGCAAATAGGTCTGAGAGCCTAATTAACAAGCACACTTCACATTTAAAGAATAAGTTTGCACCGGATATGTGTTGGCTTTTAGTTTTCTGGTATAAAAAAGATTGTAGGGATTCACTGAGGCACCTTTAGGTAGGTGATGAAATGATGCATAGATGACCTTAGAGCTGAAAAGCTGAAAATCAAGATGGTGTCTTGCTTAAAAATGTAATTATGTAATGTTCTTAGTAACGTTTCCCTCCTGGAGGCAAAAATCTGATGAACCAAAAAGAACAGGAGAATGGCATTTACACTGCCCTTTCTACATTTTTGGATGGAGGAAATGGTTCTTCTTGGGGCAGAGAGAAGCCTTATAAGGAGTCTCTGGCACCCTTGTGGATTTAAGCAGGATCTGTAATTGTGAACCAGCAGTTACATGAAGAAAATTTTGTACAGGTTTAGATAATGGCATTTTGCTGTCTATTGAGTTAGTGGGAAGAAATGATACCTTTCACCATTATCTAATCTTGGTTACACTCATCAGATGTTTAACAGCAGACCTTGAAACAGAGGACCCTTTATGGTTTGTTCTTTCAATGAGAAGAATATGTAGCAGAATGCAGAATTTAATACCTCTCTAAGGTAGGCAGAATAATACAACTTAGTTTGCTTTGCTTTAGTCTGGGTCAAACTTGGGTGCTCTTGTTGTCTGGAAAGAAAAGGCAGTAAGGTAAATTAAGTCAGGTTGAGGGTATCAAGGAATGGAAAAGAAGCCCATAATTTGAAAGAGCCTGGAAACCTGTCTCTTTAAGAGTTCCAGAGATTTGTATGTAGGGGGAGGGCCATTGCTGTGATACCGCTTGAGTCAACTGCAGTTCACATTCCTTTGTTAGATCAGTGTTGCTTTTTTAATGTCTGCATCCTGTTTGTGGGTTGGAGTTTTTTTTAATTTAGCTGGACAGACTTCTCTCTCCCTTACCCCCACCCCATTCTTCATTCTTGCCTCCTTTCGTATAGTCTCTTATATATTTTTTTGGGTAGACCTTTTTTTTTAATTTTTTCTGAAGTTCTTTTTCTGTGATTCCTTCAGAAATGTATCAGGGAGTTGGAGGGAAGGGAAGGAAATGTCCAGGTTGAAAACTGCCTTGTACTGCCTCAGCCTGGCAGTCTATCAGCCTTCTCATATTTTAAACCAGTCAGCCTCTAGAACTAGGTTAGCTTGTTCAGCTAGTTGACATGATGATAGCTGGTGGCTGGCTTTAGAAACAAACCTCTCCATGGCAGTAAAATTCAAGGAGATGAGTCAGAGATTTGTGTCCTGACTACTAAAGGTAATAATAGACCATGGCACATCTTAGGGTTCTGCATGGTCCCACTGGACCCACAGCACCCACTCACATCAGCAGATGTTGGGCTCCCCAAGTGTTCTCACTTGGAAATGTCTTGTGCCTGCTATAGATCAGCCTGGGAACATTGTCTTATGTCATCTGTGAGCTGAAACTTGGCAGACCATGACTGGGAAAGGCAGAAGGTGGATCTCTTTCTTACTCTGGCACTGCTTTTGTGCAGCAGTAAGTCAGATACTTCTCTCTGCTCTTCTGCCTTGTGAAATGGGGATAATTGCTATCCATTCTGGAAAAAAACCCAAATAATCAAATTCCCAATTTAGATTTATTCCAGGCTTAGAGCATTAATGTTTCTTGAAAAGACATAATTATCTTTCTTTGGAGTACAAAAAGCACATCTAGAGTACAGCATACAATTGGAAGTTCCTCAGTTGCTGAAAGATGTCAGTATTTTGGAAGAAATTCAGGGAAGAGCAGCAAAAATGCTGGAGAGGCTGAAAGGATTGATTTATGAGGGAAGGAAGATGAAAAGAAATGCATGAAACTTGGCTAAATTATGTCTAAGTGGGAGATATTATTATCCACAAGTATTTGAAGAGTATAACAGAGAAGAATCCCTTAGGGTGGTCCAAGGAGGTGCAAGCAAAGCTTAATAACATGAAATAAAGCATTGAGAGATGTTATTTAGCAGAGATGTCTTGCACTACCAGATTGTCTTTGCAGAGGAAGATGATGTATTCCAGTTTGACAATATTCATGTGTAGTTTGCCTGGATGTTTGCTAGTGAATGCAGGCAGTAGGATGGTGGGTGGAAGTACAATTTATTTTTCATTTTACTTCTGGTTTTGTGTCCAGGCATGTTTTTATTGCTTGGATGACAAGGTATAACCGACTTTCTAGAATGTTTGCAGCAGCATCTAGAAGAAAAAAAGAAGTATTTTCTGGCCGATGTGCTGTTCTGTAGGGCTCAGTTGTGGAGCTGTTTGTGCTTTAACTGAAGGCAAAGTTTCAAGGCCTGTTAATTGACAGGATGATGCTTCCTGTCCAGACTGGTTATATGATCAAATGCATGAAAAGGGGGACATAATCTCTGAACTCACAAGAGAGTTTGCAGAGTTTAACAAGCTGCTTAAGGCAATTTAAACTGCACTACTTCTAAAGTTATGCTTTGTGTGGATGAGGGAGCGAGCTGCTGATGGGGCACTGCTTGCCGAGGTGGGTGATATGTGGCAGCTGTTCTAGTTGTAAATGGAACACTGTATAGGATAAATGAGTGAAAAGGATTGTTCAAGAACAAGTTTGAGGAGGCAGGAACTGTATGTTTGTGTCTTATTCCAAAGAAGATAAAAGCTAACAATGACAGTCTTGGGAAAATGCTCATTTCAACATACCTTGCACCAAGGAATGTTGTGCCAGTTGATAAGACATTTAGAGGAAAGTTCAGCATATCGTTTGAATGGTGCTAATTGTGGATTTTATTTAACTGCCTCTCATCCAAGAACTGACCCTGTAAAGCTGCTTGGTTTGCAAAATCGTGATCTGTTGCTGTGTATCTTGACATCTTTTAAAATATTAACTTTAGATATGCCCATTTCTTTGGTTTTGGCTCATTGCATTTGTTTTGTGCTTGATTATTGTAAAACGTAGCAACTTTTTAAATCTAATTGGAGCATGTGTGATATCTGAGGCATGGTTCACTTTCCTTTCTGTCTGATTTCTAGTGAAGTGTTCATCCTTGCTGAGGCACTGCAATGTCTTTGACTGCCATTCTCTTCTTTTTGACTAAAAATTGCTGTACATGACTGAAAGAGTTACCTTATTTCTTAATGTGAAAGAAGCAGTGCATATCTAACACTGCTAAGAGCTGAACACATTGCTGGATTGAGCAAATTTCAATGTAATAAAAGACACTTTTCATAAAAAGAGATAAAAATGAGAATATTGGAGTACAAGCTTTGTGGCTTCTCTGTTCTTTTTAGCCATACAGGATAACAGGAGTTTAAAGTTTCTTAAAACAGGTGAAAACAAACTGGTTTATGACTTTGTCTTTTGTTGCCAGTAACTTTCTGCCTTGTGCTTGAGAGAACAAGTTCATTTCACTGTTTCCACTGCTTGTCATGGTAAGAGGGATTGAAGATGCCATAAAAGGTGCCAGCACAGATCTTCTCCCTAACCCAGGACACAGAACCTCTGGGATCCTGCAGTGTTGGTAGAACGTGACACAAAGTGGTCAGAATTCAGCTAAGTGTCTTAGTCTTGAGAATTCCTTGTATTCTTACATGTGGAATTAAGGGTAGAAATGCAGAATATGTTTCCCCTTTAGCATATTGTGGATTTGGTGCATCTTTAGTGTTTTTATATTTTGCCACTTTTTTCATTGGATGAGATCCCACACCGGCTTGCAAAGTACTTAATGACATAGTGGGAGAGCTATGGTGTATGAACAGCAGTACTCTGCATGATTTCAGTTCCAGTTAAAAACTGAGGCTTTAAAAGTGGAGTTGAATTTTTTTCAGTATTTTTTAGCATTCCGCATAAGGAAGTTGACTAGAGTTAAACAGCATGAGGGAAATGAAAGTTATGTGAAGATTGAAAAATACAATAGCACAATAATTTGTGTATCACATTGTCTTCTGTACCTCCTCCTTAAGAGCTATCTTAATGGTATTCTTTGTTGATATTTGTTTTTTTTTCATTACTAATCAAGGCATATGTCGCTTTGTTCAGGTAGGTCTCAACAGGCCAACACAGCTGGCATTTGTGGAATATTACTTTCAGGGGTTTGGGTTTTTCTTAACAACTGTAGAAGACAAACTTGAAATGGTTGACTGTATTTAAGGCCATATTCCCAGTTCTGTGGTTTGGAGGGCACTCCTTACTGACATCAGTAGGAATGGGGCAGCCTGAACCTTTTCATTGCAATGAGAATAATTAAACATCCTGTCACTAAGCAGCATACCTTTTTTGTGGGAGATCTTGACATTTGGAATTCTTTGCTTGTGTTGCATTAGAATAGGATAATCTTTTCTTAGGCCAAATGGAATTTAGGCACATTTAAGGTCCTTGTTTTCCCAGCCTGGCTTCTGTTTTAATAAAGGAAAATAAAAAATTGTTGGCTGCAAGGGTCTGGTGGGTTGCCATCCCTGTCAGTATCAGGTGAAGCTGAGCAGGATTTCAGTCAAGAGGAAAAACAAAAGCCCAAGGGCAAAGAAATC